ACTATATGCATTTTTAATATACAATCTAAAATGTAATATATGAATCCTTTTTACTTTTTTAAAAAACAAGATTAATCAATCATAATTGGGGGTGGGGGAATCAAACCCAGTTAGGGGTGGGCATAAAGCCCACAACCGATCGGGCCACTGACAACCGATTCGGAAAAATGGTATTCGGTTCGAGCCTAATGGGCTTCGAGCCCAAATGTTCGATAGTAGGTTTGGCTCGATTTTAAACGGGTCGGTGTTCGATTCTTAACCCAAAAACTGAGCAAACAAATAAAAGACCCAAATAACCGAATAAGAAATAAATATAAATATATTTTCGTTTCCTTTCCAAATAACTTGCCCAGATCTACCACCTCCCTTCCCCATAAATGAAAAAAATTTCTTCCCTGCCAAATCCAATCTTTAATCTTCCATCTTTTTTTCTTAATCTCATGCCCCTCTTCACTTTTTGTTCTACAATCTTTTATTTCTTTTGCCATTCTTGTTCTTCTCTTTTATCCCTTAAGCTCACTCTTTATAGCTCTATAGCTCATTCTCTCTCTGTATTTCTCTCTTTAATCTCCATCTTTCTACAAGTCTTATAACTAGAAATCCTAATCTTCTTCATCCCAAAAAGGTCAAAGATGTAACCATAGGATCTCATAGGATCAATAGTATCTCATCTTCACTGGCAAGCAGCTTGAAGATGGTCAGACCTTATTTGAATACAGTATCCAAAAAGGTCGAAACCTTGTCTTTTGATTTTTGCAATATTGCTTAGAAATTTTTTATGTTAATGAAAAGGTCTTAATTAGAATTTAAAATAGGATTTCTTTAGTTTTACATAGAATCTAGAATCATCTGATGTTGATAGCCTTAAGGTTGGGATGAACCCTCTTTGATGGGCCATGGATTGTAGGAGTTAGGACATGATTGAACAACTTTTGATTTTTTTTATTTTTTTTTTTTATTTTTGGATTTGGATATTTGGATCAAAATTGAAGAAAATGAATCATAAAACATTGTTAGAAAATCGGGCCACAAAACGGAAAGCCCAAACCCAAGAAAGCCTTGAAGGGCTAGAATTGGATAAAATTGAGACTGATACCAATCGAACCGACTAATTCAATGACAAAACCAAATAACTAAAGTATTATTCGGTTCAATATTTAATTGTTATCTCACAAAATAATTAACCAATAAAAATCATCAATTTAAGTTTGATTCCAACCAAACCGAATTGATACACACCCCTAAACCCAACCCAAAGGACTAGGCATGCAAGGGTAACAAAGTCACTAAATTGAGTAGGCTAAGTGTATCATAATTTTGGCGTAAATAATTAATAGTTGTATGAACAATTCTTCTTCTTCAAAAGATGATGCTTGATATCAACGCGCACAATGTTGACCATATGATAGACAATAAGCGACTGTTCATGCCGTTGCTCATAATTTGTGTGTAAATAATTAATAGTTGTATGAACAATTCTTCTTCTTCAAAAGATGATGCTTGATATCAACGCGCACAATGTTGACCATATGATAGACAATAAGCGACTGTTCATGCCGTTGCTCATAATTTGTGTGTAAATAATTCATAGTTGTATGAACAATTCTTCTTCTTCAAAAGATGATGCTTGATATCAACGCGCACAATGTTGACCATATGATAGACAATAAGCGACTGTTCATGCCATTGCCATGGAGAAGAGGCAATGTGGCTGGAGACAAAGGCGAATGGTTTTGTCCAAGAGTAAAGACCGATCAAGTTGGAGTAAGATGTAACGTGACATGACATCAACGCTATCCGCTGAGGCAACATTGTCTTTCCATATTTCTACTAATGCATGTGATTTGTAGGGGCCAAGAATTGAATCTTCACAGAAAGTCACAAAATCAAGTTGTGAGACTTGAACAAACATGTCCTTTAAGTGTCCAGCCATTGTATCCCAGTTTCATTTTCCTCTTTTCTCTAGTGCGTTTCGGAGCAATTTCCTAAAATACAAAGCTAAATTAATATACTATTAATAAGTATGATTTTATAAGTCAAATCATATATTAAAATATGTTAAATTATTTAAGAAGAAATTAATCTCAAATTATTCAAAAATTGAGTAAAAAAACACTATTCAGTGAGTTTTAATATCTGTATGGTAGCCTTCAGCAAAATGAATCAAAGCCATTGGTATCTAAAATTGGCATCATCATCTCATCCTCGCGTGTCAAGAAAAGAAAATTCAAATGTGAGAAATACAAGCCAACAAGTGTCAAGCAACCAGCTGCTGGCCGTGCAGCCCAGAAAAGTGAACATTTGGACGCTATCGATCCTGCCAATCTGGATATCTGAATTTCCACACAGGGGATGACACATACCAGAAACAGGACCACCCAATACCGACACTAGTGCACCTGTAATGGAAACATCAGACCCTCTCCCAATTAATGCCAAAAGCAAGTGGCGGCACTAACTGCCAATTTTTATTTACATAGAATAGGAAACTGGAATAGGAAACTTCACTCATTCCAAGCCTAAACGTGTGCCTATAAATCCCCTCCCCAACCCCAAGTGTCCTTCAGGCCTTCTACCTTCTTGGTGTTTTCATATTCCATATTTCCACCCTCTTTGCTTCTTCTTCCTGAAATTTTGGAGATGGCAAGTTCTCGTCTCTCGAGGTTCGTCATGGAGGCTGCTCCGCCTCAGTTCGTTAGCGTCATGAGGTACCGGACGAGAAAGATGATGGATACGATCAATGAGGAGGAGAGAGATGTCAGCAGCAGTGATTCTCTTTCGAGTTCAACCTCTTCTATTTCTGCTGCTAAGGCTTCCTCTTCTGCTGCCGCTGTTGTTGCTGTTGTTTCCCCCATGACTAACTCAAAGTATTTCCTGAAGGGAGTGCAGAGTTCTTTTTTGATGCTCAAAAACTAGAATAGCTTGATTTTGATGTGTGGAAGATGTAATAGCAGGTATATGCACTGTGTGAGTTATGAGAGAATAGCATATTATATATGTTTTATGACATCATTTCTGTACAGAGTAAAAAATATCCATGAATTGAAGAAACAACAATATAATTGGCATAGCCATAATAGTTTATCAACTCTACATATGCTTCATCAAGGAGACAACAATAAATCTGAACAAAATATGGTTCCTTACATAATTGTATGTGCAATATAACGCTTTAAGACGAGAATACTCCTCACCCCTTTCTCCCATTTCTTTTTCATTTAACTTAATATTTGAATTTGAAATCTCTAAATTAAAATTTTATATTAGTTGAATCATCCCATTAAAAATATGTATATAAAGAGAAGTTTCAGGTAAAACAACTTACTACTTTCCACATAAGGCTTCTCATTAGACTCGAGTTCGAGTCCTTCCACTCTCTCATCTCTTCATAATGTAACTTTGCTCAAAAACGGAAAAAAAACATGCATATAAAGGTACAACACTGTTGTCATTATCAACATCTCCGAGCTTTCAAAATTCCCCATTTTCCATCTGTTTTGCAGCCTTAATTAGTAGTATATTTCTAATGGCTCTCATTATGCAGGAGCATCGCCCCGTCCATACAACCAAATCAGCGTTGAAGAGCTCTTTACACATGTCCATGTGCACGAAGGATTGCTGGGTCTGCAGGAGTCTGGACCAACCCCAGTCCAGTCCAGGAAGGAGATAAATCGAAACTGGGTTGGGACCAACCCAACTATTGAGTCTTCTCCTAGCGCAGTTCAATGAAAATGGCTAATTATTAATTAATCTTTTTCAAGGACTAAGAACCAACGGTCCAGCCCACAACAGGATGCTACAGTTTTTAGATTTCAGCCATTTGACAACATTTTTTAATAATTTATTTTTGAAAAAAAAAAGAAAAATTAGGATATATTGATATAAAAAGTATCAAGACATTTAATAATAACCCATGATAATTTAATAAAAATAGACTTA